TTTATATGTGATAGGATTCAGAGGATCTCTGGCGATGTAGCAGAGCTCTAGCTTTCCTCTGTACACTACGAATGTAGACGCGTCTGGAAACCAGATCACACGAGTGTCCCGAGCTTTTATCATCTGTTCCTCTCTGTTTTTTAAGATCAGACTCGCACGTCGTGTTATTTCTGCGGTGTTAATCAGGCTTTGAGATGGAGATGATGGAGGTGCTATCCTGAGAATCGCCGGCTCCTCGCACGGATTCGGAGGAGCGCAAACCATCTGCTCTTCTCCGACACGACACTGAACTTTGGTTTCACTTGTGTTTGTGTTATTTTATTTTCCGGTGTAATGTATCGGTACTTGTTTTAAAGAGAGGTGATTGTACACTGCAAAAAAAAAATCATGTTGTTAGTACTTATGGCTTGTTAACCAGTAAAAATAACTAAACCACAAAACATAAATGTGACCCTGCAGCACAAAAGCAGTGTTGAGTCGCTGGGGGATATTTGTAGCAATAGCCAACAATACATTGTATGGGTCACAATTATACATTTCTCTTTTATGCCAAAAATCATTAGGATATTAAGTAAAGATCATGTTCCATGAAGATATTTAGTAAATGTCCTACCGTAAATATATCAAAACTTAATGTTTGATTAGTAATATGCATTGCTAAGAACTTCATTTGAACAACTTTAAAGATGATTTTCTCAATATTTAGATTTTTTTGCACCCTCAGATTCCAGATTTTCTAATATTGTCCGATCCTAACAAACCATACATCAATGGAAAGCTTATTTATTCAGCTTTCAGCTTCAGATGATGCATACATCTCAATTTAAACAAATTGACCCTTACGACTCTTTGTGCTCCAGGGTCACAAATCAAGATGACAAGATATTAACTCATGTTTTCTGAAAAATGTATCAGAATGAAGTGCATTTATGCTTAGAACAAGAAAGAAATAGTCTTTGAATTAATTGTATTATTCTGAGCCCATCCGCAGATATTTGTTCTTGTTTCAATCATAAACTCACTTCATTTTGTTCAGTTTCTCAGAAAACAAGACTTCACGTGTTGATTGTGCGTCTGCAGTAAATGTGTCTGGATTTGAGGATGTTTAGAGAGTTGTTCTGGAGAAGAAACACGGTTTTATTTGCGTGTTGGTTGTTGTGAGTTTTCCATCAGTCGTTTTATACTCTTCTTTATCTTTGCATCGTGTTTTCAAGTGTTTGGTCACATATCTCGTGTGAAAGCAAAGTGCTTTAAATCTCCATCGCTTACTAACGTGCCACTATATGTCAGGTAGGACGTTTAAATGGTTACATGATAAATGCCAAAATAAGGGATTATTTATATAAAGATACATATATAAATATAGTGAGTAGTTTAAGACTACGTTTGGTTTCTTAGAAGCTTTTTGCACTAGCTGAATGTTTTCTGACGTAGACCTTTGCTCTAATATTATAGTTTGCGGGGAAAGCAGATTATTTTTGCAGAACTGTCGCGCTCTGAATTTCATCCGTTTGTCTCCTGAGCTTTCTGTAGCTTCTCAATGGATCATGCTGTGAGTGCTTTTGTATTTATATATATATATATATATATATCGTATTTGTCAAACTTCTAGCAATGAAACTACTCAAAGTACTGTTGTTATCCTGCTACTTTAATACTGTTTTATAGTATGTGTACCAATAAACTATCCCAGGTGTTCAATGAAAACGGTTGCTGTGTGTTCGTAAAGCTTTAAAGGGGCTGTTTTTCACCGTGCAGGGGGTATGATCTTTTAGGGATGGGTTTTAATCTCGGGTGTTGATGATATGCTTTATTTAAAAAAGGGCTCATGTCTCTACTAAACTCTACAGCCTTGAAAAGCATACGCGACGTCTGACTTTGGAAACTAGTTCTCTCCTGAAATATGAAGAGGTCAAGCAACAGGTTAATAAGTTAATTTCAGCAAAAGCTTCTGGACGTGATTGTAATATGAGTCCGACACTGAAGTGAGCTGCTGTTTCTGTCTCTTCTGAGGACGATTCAGTCACTTGTTTTGTACACAGACACATTTTAGCCAGATTTATTCATGTTCATCTGATCTCATTTTGTAAGTGACTTATCTTTCTGTTTTAAAGATGTTTCCTGTGGATTGTTTGACTGCTCGAAAGAGAATATAGGAAAATATAACTTCATTAATTTGTGTTTCCTGCTAGCTTCACATAGATAGGTGTATATGATTTTCTAATTAGTTATATTAAAAAAAATAATAATATGGCTCTTCCAAGCTTTATAATGGCAGTGAATGGGTGTTATTTTTCAGTAGTCCAAAAGAAGTACAATAAAGTGCATCCATCCATCACAAAAAGGGTATCATAAAATGATGTACTTAGATTGGCTGTGATTTCTGATCAAGTAAAAGTGTAGTAACTATGGTTTTTGACGTATTGATTACAATTTGTATATCCACAGTTTTACTACAAATACCACGGTTAAACTACGGTTAGTGTAAAACCATGGATAGTTTGTAGTTACCCTGGTTTAACTATTGTAACCATGTTTTCCTTAGTAGGTTAATTTTCGTAAGGGACTGAAGGTGTTCTCCTCTGTTGAGTGTGTGTAGTACTTCACACAGCTACACAACTCAAAACAGCTAGGCACATTTATTCATAAGGTTCAGTCGGTGTTTCTCTGAAGCCCTTATTACAATCAGCACATTAATACACGCATCCACTTAGGAACAATAAAGTGTGATGATGAGATTCATGTTGTCGTGGAAACACGCAGCGCAGCGGTATAAAGCAGATCTCCATCAGCCACGGAGAGACTGAGACTGAGGAAGCATGCTGAGACTCTCGGACAGGTGCTGCTCCCAAACCGACTCCAGAATCCTCCTGGACGCCATCTCCAACGACAAGCTCCACCTCGCCAGGTTCGTCTTAGACGCTCTGGATGGGAAGATCATCGACTCCGAGAGCGAAGGGGCGCAGACGCCGCTCATCTCCGCCGTGCTTCTCCAGGACTCGGGTGCGAGATGCAGGTTCGTGAATCTTCTGCTGCAGAGGGGCGCAAGCGTGAATCTCCCGGACGAGAGCGGCCGCACGCCGCTGAGCTACGCCTGCGAGATGGGACACCTGGACGCGGTGAAGATCCTGGTGAAGACCGGCGCGGATCCCGAGGCAGCGGACGTCTGGGGGAACACCGCGCTCATGTACGCCGCTGCGGCCGGACGCTCGGCCGTCGTGGAGTTCCTGGTGCGCGCTTTCAAAAGGCTGGGTCTCCAGATCGAGCGGCAAAACAAGGTGGGCAACTCTGCAGTGGAGGTGGCCAGGTATCTCAGACACACTGACTGCTTGCAGGCGCTGCTGAGTAACTCCAGGAGGCTTCACGATGGTGATGCACTCGCTGAGAAACTCTCCACTGTGAACATCAGCGAAGATGAACATGAGGACAAGCCTCTCCAGATCCATCCAACAAGAGCTTCTCCTGAAGATGCGCGGCGGCCTCCCATCAGTTCGACTCGTAAACGACCCCTCAGTGTGCGGAGGAGAATCCAGTCGATGGACTGCATTGAGGAAGGTGATGCTTCATGGCCATTATCACCACAAGGCCAGATGTTCTCTGGTGTTTTAACCCCAAAACCTCCTCAGCAGCTCAAACACGGAGAGCATCCATCCACCTGCCTGAACAATCACCTGCCTCCGTTGTTTTACTCACCCAGACCCTCTAAAATGCCCTTGAGTTGTGCGCACGCTTCTGGTCCTCTTGGCATTTTATTAAATCCTTTCAGCAAAAACAACGCCAAAGTAGAGCTCGACAAAGCCAAGAAACTGGCGTTTGACTTGCCCATCAAAAGGTTTGATGACAGTTACTATCAGAAGAGGTGCAGTTTACCCACTAGCACTCTGGCGGCTCCGGAGCGTCTCAAGCCTTTGCGCAAAACCGTGCAGAAAACCGCGGTGACCGCGGAGCGCACCTCCAGATCTCTGAGCGCCTTCAGCGGGAGGCTGTTGAGGAGATTCACCTTCCCAGAGCTCAAGAGCTGCCGCGGAGAGTCCCCAGAGGCTCCAGAAGCGCCCGCGCCCTGCATCCCGAGGTCAGAGACGTTCCCCCTGGGAAACAAGCACCCTCAAGTCGGGAGCAAGCCGAGCATCGACAGCATCAGCGCGGTCAAGTGTGAGTTTGACTTTCAGTTCAAAGCTGCTCCAAATGTCTGAGTCTGTGCTGCAGAGTCTGGGACGAGCTCGAACTTACTGACTAGTGCAGCTTCAATGGGTGCCGTGCCAACAAACCGTATAAGGGCTTGGAATAAATCACTCATTTGTTCATTTAGCAGACACTGTCACCCGAAGCAGACGGTGTGTGATGATGTTTAAGACATATGAGCATTTGTGGGTCATTTCTCACGCTCACCTGCAGCTTAGAAAGATCCCATCTAACTGATCTTGTGTTTACCTGTCATGTCATTTCAAAAATAGTTTTATTTTTATTCTATTAAATTTAGTTAGTTGTGTGTTCATATATTTATTTTTCAGTTTTGCCAGTGTTTTGAATACTAGTCATTTGTGATAGTGCAGACTGGGGCTAGTTGTCACAGTGGGTTTATGTTTTTTAAGTCTACAAAAAGGCTATTGAATATTCACACTGTTGTTGATCAGGAATGTTTTTAACTCCACTGTAGTGAGGAATGTTGTGACACTATACGGGGTAAGTTGTCACAGTGAATCCTGACTCTGAAATCAACTTCAAACATTAAATTATGAATTTATGAAAAAATTCACGAAACGGTAACACTGTAAAAGCTGACATACAAATCTCTCTCCGAAAGTGTAATTAATAAATTGTTTAAAATGAAAACACGTTTATGAATTTCCAGAAATACAAAATACTTGTCTTCATGCAAGTGTGCTTTATTGTGTTGATGCATTGCTCAAAATGATTCTATTTTAAGACGCATTTAAACCGATCATGTGACAACTTACCCCGGAGTCCCGTGCAAGGATTTTCCCTCGGGATGAAAACAGCTGTGGCTTCTTCTGCGGGAGTCACTGAAGGACTGAGAGCGTCGTGTCGTGATAGTGTCGCGGGGAGGAGCTGCTTCAGAGCTGATCAGTGCGGCTCGGGCAGACGCACACACACACACACACAGACACGGGAGCTGACGCTGGAGCGGAGGACGCTCGGAGGAACAGCGCGCAGCGGTCAGTCAGGGGCCCCTGGAGCTCCTCTGGAATCCTCCGCACACTGTCCTGCAGGAGCACCGCTTCATCATGGACCTGCTGCTGCTCCGTGAGTATAGTGCTGCTTGTGCTGCTGCGGATGATCTGGGGAGCTTGATTCGCTTCAGTTACATGAATTCGTTTAAGGGACGGACATCAGAAACGGAATTCTCAAACACAGCAGAAAAGAGAGATTTACTCATTCAAATCTGCTTCCAGGTGTAGTTTCTTTAATTGTTAGATATCACTGTACAGTGTAGCCTACTGAAGAGAATACAACAAAGAATAGAATAGAATAGAAAATGCAGTTATGATTCAGTGCAGTTTTACAGAGACATTTTCACAAACCCCGGTGAAGACAAAGAGCAGCACAGAAACAATAGAAACAGAACAGAGTAGACTCTTCTGTGTGTGTGTGTGTGTGTGTGTGTGTGTGTGTGTGTGTGTGTGTGAGTGTGTGTGTGTGTGTGTGTGTGTGTGTGTGTGTGTGTGTGATTGTGAGTGTGTGTGTGTTAGAGAGCGAGCGTGTGTGTGTGAGAGAGCGTGAGTGTGTGATTGTGAGTGTGTGTGTGTGAGAGAGAGAGCATGTGTGTGTGTGTGATTGTGAGTGTGTGTGTAAGAGAGAGAGTGTGTGTGTGTGTGTGTG